ACACACACACACACACACACACACACACACACACACACGGCAGAGAGAGAGAAAAAGGGATTTATTACAAGAAATTGGCTCATGTGATCATGGATGCTGACAAATCCCATATCTGCAGTCAGCAACTGGACACTAGGAGAGCCAATGTGTAAGTTCCAGTTGAAAGCTGGCAGCCCTGAGACCCAGGAAGAGGGTCTTTCAGTTCAAATTCAAAGGCAGGGAAAGACTGATGATATTCCAGCTCAAAGGCAGTTGAACAGTTTGAGGGGTCTCTCTTACTTAAGGAGAGGTCAGCCTTTTTGTTTGATTCTGGCGTTCAACTGATTGGATGAGGCCCACCCATGGTAGGGAGAGATTATCTGGTTTACTCTGTCCACTGATTCACAGGTTAATCTCCTGCAAAAACAGCCTCACAGACACACCTGGAACCAGACATCTGGGCTTCCTGCCACCCAGTGAAATTGACACATAAAATGAACCATCACAGATGATCAGCAAGTGACAGGAAGATTTGCTATGATAAGGAGGTTGGAGGTGGAGGTGGAGCTGTCTGTGCCATGGCTGGGTCAGAGGGGAAATAAAGAGTTCAGTTTGGATGTGTTAGTTGGAGTCTCCTGGGAAATAGTGGAATTGAAGTTTCCAGCAGTGAATGGGTACGACTGTCTGCACCCTGGAAGAGAAGAGGTAAAAATGGAAACATTGCCTGAGCGTGAAGGACGTGCCTCCAGCTCCGCAGCCAGCCTTCTGACCGTCACCTCTGCCTCTCAGTTCTGTCAGTGCAATAATGATCTTTTTAAACTACAGAACTGCTGGGGACGTTTTATGAGCAATCCGAGTAGACTTTAGATACTTGTGGCCGCAGATTTGGAGAGAAGGTCTGATTGAGGAGTCTACACGGACAGCCTGGACACAAGGAACAGAGGGTCCTCCTGGTGGCTTTGCGTTCGAGCTGTGTGGCCTCCAGCTTGGTTCTCCGGTTTTACGTTTCCTCAGGAGAGCCCCTCCCAAGGGTTCATGGAGATCAGAGTTTTAAAAGGACAGAAATAGAGTTTCCAAGGGGAAAAAGTGCATAAAAACACCATCAACAATGACACTAAGAGTCCCTTCCTCGGCGACCACTTTGCAGCCCTGCAGGCCAGGGGCGGAACCAGCACCTCTGGTCGCGGGGCGGGGCCAGCCCCCCACCCCCCGCGCCCGCTGTCGGGACGCCAGGGGCTCGCTCAAGACAGGCAGGCTTGCGGCCGAACAGGTGGCCAGCCTCGGGGAGCTTGCCACCCAGTGGAAACAGCAGGCCCTATATTAAGTAAATGACCCTGAGGTGTTCGATTAAGTCAGCTGCTAAAAGTGGTTCTGACTTATCCTGGTCGCCAAGGAAGCGGGGCTGTGCCCTCGCCTCCCTTTCGGGTGATGCCCGGTGAGAACCGGCCCGAATGTTGACAAACTCACCTTGGAGGTTTGCTCTTGGGCACGTGGAGGAGTAAGAGTCTCGATGTCTGAGGAGAAGGGCTGCGTGGCTCCCTGGCCGTAGTCGGCACCGCGTCTCACTCGGGACATGCTCTCTCGCCTCCGGCAAGCCTTCTCCAGAGTCTACGGGGCGCTGGTTAGTAAGTACCTCCGCTTAGCTTTCCAGGAGCACTTGGGAGCGTGCGGGTCGGCCCGGTCCTGCTGGGGAGCCACGCCAGCCAGCCAGTGACGCAACGGCTCTTTTCAGTTATGCGTGACATTTGTGGCCTTTCTTTCCTCCCTTCTTGGTCTTTGACTTGATGTGAAACGTAGAGGAGGGTTGTTTTGAACATTCACGTTTCTCACTTTTCCTTTGTCTGGGCCCCGTCTCATTCCCTCTTCTTTCTGTTTCCCTCCAAGCTGGGCTGGCGGAGGCGGCCCGTTCGCAGCGCGGCCGCTCTGCCGGGCGCCGCTTGACCTCGTTCTCGGGTTGCTGCAGGGTCGCTGCCCTCCTGAGTCCCTGCGCGAGTCCTGGTCACGGCTGAGTGCTCACAGGGTTTGCCCCTGGTTTCTGTTCAGTCAGCGGGGGGCTCAGGTTACCTGGAACTTCGAGGCGCGAGGTCGGAGGAAGAGGAGCTGCGTTCACTCCTTTTACACTTTTCTTAGACTTCTTGTCTTCATCTTTCCTCTTTCTCTCCTCATTTTATTCCACATTTCTCCTCCTCCCTCATCTCCCTTCCCTGAGACAGCAGACGTGGACCGTCGGCGGGAGGTGGGGTCCTTGCCTGGGCTTGGTCTGTGGGACTTTGTCTCAGGACCCTCACGCCCCCCGCCCCCAGTTCCTCCCCTTGAATGCCATTTGATTTCACTGCGTCTTTGCTAATTTTAATTCTTCTCCCCCCAATGCGGGATACCCTGTCCCGTTACTGGTCCCAGATGAAGGAGATGGTGTTAATTGATTGACAGCTCTCACTGAGCATTGTGAATAGCTGCCTGTGGCCTGGGCGGCTTCCTTCCAACCTTCCACGCTTCTTGGTCTGTTCTCATCTGCGGAGAAGGATGTCACTCCATAAATAAGTCCCTGAACATAGTTGGCCCAGGTCTTTGGAATGTGCCTTTGCCTCAAACCCAAGGAGCCTCCAGTCTCTTTGAAGATAAGCTATTTACATGGGGGTCCTTAGAAAGTGTCACGTATGAATGGTACGAATGGTGGATGGATGCAGACAAAAGGAGTCAGGTGTGTTCAGTGGTTAAGAAAGTGTCATGGAGAGGGTCAGACCTCCCTGGGCCCTGCAGGGTTGAAGCTGTCCAGCGGGGACACCCCCTGAGGACCCCCCACCCCAGGCAGTGCAGCCCCGTGAGGAGCGCTGCCTCCGCAGAGAGCGATGCCCAAAGCCCAAGGAGCCGTGTCCACGTGTCTGCAGTGGCCAAGATGATGGCGGAGCTGGGGGAGTAGGGCGCCCCCTGCTGCCTGGTGACGCTCCCTCTTCTAAGGGTCTGAGCCCCACGGAGCCAGCTGTGGGCGACTGGACGTAACTCTAGGCCCGTCCGTACCTGGCTTCCCGACACCCCTGGGGGCCCTGGTTGGCTCTCTGAGCTGACATGTCCGTGTCTACATCTAGGATGCTCTGGGCTGGGAGCAGGTTCTGCGGGACAGGAGGGTTTGATTACTGCTGTGGACTCACCTTGCACGTTCGTGTCAGAGCCTCGGGACAAGGGCCTCTGTGGCTCCAGCAGTGAATTCTGTCGACAGACGTGAGCGCCCTGATGCGACCAGAGTGGGGGCTCCCGGACCACGACTGTCGCACCCGCCTGGCGGCTCCTCCCACCTTTGTCCCCCTGCTCCACTCCCACCATGGAACTTCCCCAGGTGGCCCACCTCCCAGGGCCCACATGGCCCCTCCGTGGGCAGGGACATGGTCAGGACTCCTGCTCCGCCAGCAAGACAAGGGGCCTCGGGGACGCTGGTGGTTCCACCCCAGCTTCTAGTCAGTCAGCCTGGAGGCTGAATACACACCTGGCAGGTGGTGCCTGGTCCCGGCCCTCCTTCTGCAGCAAAAGGGGCAGATGGAGCCCTCCATCCCCGCAGCTGCTCCCGGATCCAGGCTCAGGTTCTCCCAGAGAAGGCACAGCGGTGCATGGCTCTGTTCAGAGGTGCCAAGTATTTGCCTAGAAACGATGAGGGGCCTGATGTAAATGCACGGGGCTTCTGGCAGCAGACATGGTTGTATCTGCGGCCCCCCTAGCCTGCCCCGAGGCTGAGGTGACACGGAGGGTCTGATCTGGGAGGAGCACTGGGAACTGTCATCAGTGGAACGGGCCGGGCTCAGTCTCAGCCCACTCTCCTCGGCATCACTTGTTCGTTCAAGGAGAAGGATGTTGGTTTTTACACGGTGCCCGTTTTTTCCACTCTTCCTTTGTCAGATCGCGGGGACACACGCATTCGTAGCCACGGCAGGTGCGCTCAGAGGTTTGAAAACGTTCCAGGAACACGGCACGATCTCTGTTCTCAGCCTCAGGCCCCACCGGGTGTGAGTTTCCCTCCCTGTGAGTTCAGACGTGAATCCTGTTTGCAGAAGGGGAACCAGTGCTTTTCCAGCAGAAGAAATAGTGTGAATTCACGAAGAAGCCTGGGGTGCACGGGGCTGGGAAGCCAGTGTCTTCACGGCACGGAGTTTCCCGGGCGGTTGTCGCGCAGAGTGGGGTTTCGAGGACGGCACCGATCCCGTGACGGCGGGGAGGAGGCTGGTGTGGAGGTGCCGCTGGGGGGTGCTGGTTGCATTTCAGTGGTTTCCGCTGTTCCCACTGTTGTCTAAAGTGATCGCTGCAGAAAGTGAAATGCGTCTCCACTCAGCTGACGTGTTCCGCTTGCATCCTGATGGCGCCGCAGAGGCCGCGGGCAGAGCCCCTTTCTCGGGAAACGTGGGTCATTTGAAAGAAACGGCCGAGGTTGAAAGCCAGCAGCCAGGCGGGCCCGCTTGGCAGCTGCATCTTTGGGAAGCACAGGCTGCCTGCGGCCCGCGGGCAGAGGGCCGTTTTACTCAGGAGGAGCTAGGCTGATGGGCGTCCGGGGGATCGCGGCCATGAGACTGTGATTCGAAGTGATGAGCACGCTGTGTGGTCGCAGAGGGAGGACCGCTTGCCTCTGGGCCGCGTCCAGTGCCACATGCTGCCAAACACACCCCCGATTTCCAGAGCCCGGCCCTGCTCCCGGATGAGTGAGCTTTTCTGAGCAGGGGAGGTGGTGTGGGTGTGGGGTCTGCAAGGCCGCATGTCGGAATCTGCAGCTGGAGGGATGGGGCGCTGTTGGGGCCCCTGCTTCTGGGCCAGTCCTACGTGTGGGGAGGATGCGGGACCCCAGGGTCCGTTCCCTCCTGTTTCCCTCGACTCACTCGCTCTCTGCTAACCCCGAGGATCGGGGTGTCAGCCTTTGTCTGTGTCCCCACCTTGAAGGGGTTCCCTCTGCATCATGAGCCCTCACCTGCTTACTCTGGGCTATACCCAGGTTCCTGGATGGCCGTGACTTCCCAGGGCTCAGGTGTGCGTGGCTGTGCAGGTGTGTGCAGGTGTGCACATTCAGTGTGTGCAGGTGTGTGCAGGTGTGCGCGGGGGCTGTCTGGGGTCTCACGCTCCCGGGACCCCTGATCGCTGTGCTGGTCTGTTTCCTCTCCCACTTTAATTCCCACCCATCTCCCACAGCTGCCAGAACAATTACGTTCTCATTCCCGGCCTCTCCCTAATTCACTGACTCCAAGATAGCAGAGCCGGTTAAGCTCTCTGGACCTTAGGTTTTCAACCTGGAAAGTGAAGTTGGGGTAAAATCCAAGGTTTGTTTTTATCTAAGTGTAGCTGGCTTACAGTGCTGTGTCAGTTTCAGATGTACAGCACAGTGATTTGGGGCTTTTTGCAGATTGTATTCCACTATAGTTCATTACAAAACGTTGGGTGTAATTCCCTGTTCTGCACGGTAAGTGCTTGCTGTCTTGAGGTCTAAAATTCTGATTTTCTGCTTAAAAGACGGCTGTTTGCCGTGTGCCAGGCACTGTTCTAAGTGCCTTCCACATAACAATTCACTTACTCCTCCTCCTTAGGAGTAGGTGCAGTGACTCTCCCCTTTTACAGATGAGCACACCGAGGAGTGAGATCAGCTGTTTATCCATGAGTGTCCTGGTGCGTCTAAAACTGTCCCAAGCTCACCACTATGTCGAGGGGCTGACCTGGGGCACTTCCTGGACACTAAACAAAACTGTGCTTTTCCTCTGTCACAAGGCAGCTCCACTCTGTCAGCCTTGCCCCCGTTCCCTCTGTGGGGCATCATCTCACTGGCAGGGGCAGCATTGGGTGCCCCTTGGTTAGCTGTCTTTCTTCCCTCAAGACCCAGGGGTGAGACGTGGCCCCCTGGCTCTGCTCTGTGCTGAGTGGGCAGGAATGGTCCTGGAGAAGCTACCTGAGTGCTGACTTGGGAGGAGGGGTCCTCACCTCCAGCCCACCTGGGGTCCCTGCCCTCCTCAGGGGTGTGGCTCTCCTGTGGGATGCGGTCCCCTAGCCGGGACCTGGGGGATGAGGGCACAGCCACCCCTCCCTCCGGCCCTGTGTCCCTGTGGCGCAGGAGGGCCACCCAGACAAGACCCAGCTCCTTTTCCAATCCCTGCAGACGCCCAGCCGTGCAGCTTTGGAGGGCAGGGGAGATGGGGTGGGGCTTCTGACGGGCAGGCAGGGAGAACCATCACACCCATCGTCTCACAGGGAACCCAGAAATCCTGCAGACTTTCTACCTCCAGGGACCCCATCAGCTGTGCCACAACCAGGGCTCCTCCAAACCTGGCACCTACCCCTCCCACCTACGCCCAGAAAGGAAGGCCCCTTTCTCTGCCTTGAGTCCTGTCTCCCCTCCCACCCCCCAATCTCCCTGCATCAGATTCCTCTCCCATCAGGAGGCAGAGCTCTGCCCGCCCAGCGCTCTTCCCAGACTGGGCAGTCAGGGCTGGGGACGAACCCCTGCCAACAGCCTCTCCCCGGGACTGCCTGGCGGCCGCAGGCCTAAGCACATCTTCAGGTCTCTCTCCTGCTGGAGCATCTGGAGCTGACCACGGACGCAACCATAGGCCTAGGGTGCCCCTGGGGAACGCGGTTACACATGGCCATGCTCACTGCTTGCACAAACCCTGAGAACACGTCACACGGGCCGCGTCCACCAGCCGCTGCAGCTTGTCAGAGAGGGTGCTGTACATCCCCAAGTTCAGCTCGTCTAAGCGTTCATGCTTGCTGTTTGGTACAGGAAACCGACGTCTACCAAGCCACGTCTGAGCAGATAAAAGTGACTGAATCCGCGCAGTCCACATACTCCAGGGAACTATCTTAATAGAAAAATAAATACAGTGACGTCAGATGGACACCAACAGTTTAATACAAGTTTTTTAACAAGCTCTTTTCCTCCAACCCCCTCCTGCTCGTTCCTCCATTTTAGTGGTGGGAAGTCCCTGCCCCCGAGGGTCCCCCCGACTCCCGCGGCCCCAGGAGGGGTGTCCCCCATCGGGAGGCTGCTGCCGGTCTCCCCGTAGTGGGCACTGCAGTGGCGCCAGTTCACACTCGGGTTGTGGTCTGTACTCTCCAGGCACTTAACTGCCCAGTACGGCTCACAGCCTCACTCTCCTCGTCTGAAGGGTGGGCATCCGGAGGGTGCCTGCCTCGTGGCCCTGATGTCAGGCTCGGATGAGACGAGACAGGGGAGCAGCACCGCTGCCCTGCACACAGTAGGCACTTGGCACTGGCGCCTACTGACGTGGCCAGGGTCTGTCCCATCGTCGGAGAGGGTGGAGCTGGGGGAAGAACCCCCGGCTGTGATGCCGTTTCCCTGGCTCGAGAGGGATGGGCAGGAGTGAAGGCGGGGCGGAGACTGGCCCGTTGACCCCCGCCCTGTGTGTTCTCACCGCAGCACAGGGCGGGGCTGCTGTAAACGCGCCCTGAGCCGCCTCTCCCGGACTCAGTCCTCCCGCGCTTGCGCCTGGACCCGACTCCCCCACGTCCCTGTCGCCTGCAGACCCCTGAGGAGGGAGGTGGGAGTGTCGCGTGGGCCAGCGTGCTCGCCACCGCCGGGCACCCGTGTTGACAGCTGTCGGCCCAGCGGAGACGAAGGAGCGCCCGCTGCAGACGCGAGGACGGGCACGGGACACCTCCCGCGGGGCTCTCGGCCGGGCTGGGAGCGCGGACGCAGAGCTGTGGACACGCCGATGAGAGAAGCGTGATCTGGGGCCGTCGAGGCAGGCTTCGTGGGAGGAGGGGCGAGCCTCACAGGAGCAACGGGCTGGGCGGAGGAGGCAGCGCGGAGGGACGGCGAGCGCCCGGATGGGGGCCAGGTGCCGGGGGCGCGCCCGCGTCTGTGGGCAGAGGACGGGCTGTGCGGGGGGCCGTGCGGGGCGCGTCGTACTC